CAAACCGTTATACCGTTTTAACAAACTCAATAAGCAAAGAGCGAAAAGCAACCGGTTACGATGACAGTTCGACGGTGAATGTCCCCCAGTGTTAAAATTACAGGTAGTGAAATGCCGCTCTTCTCTATTATTATTATTCTTGATTCTGTTTTGTAGTTTGTTACTACCTTTAGGAAATTAATCGACGAGGATGCATCTATCGATTGTTGGATGCATAATCGCTAAGACAGAAGAGTGATGGCTTATAAATTGTAACTAAACTGGTGTAAACTATTGATCGCTATACCCATCTTTTAGAAAATATTTAAAATTAAAGAAGGTAAATATGGGATGTGATGGTGGAACTATACCGCGCCGAGATGAGCTTGTACGCACTGCAAAAAAACCGGAGCAGGTAAATTATCCAATTATTCATTTTGTTTATATTTGTACCAATATTCTAATTTTCAGAAAGATAAAGATGCTGAACGCGAATTTCGTTGGTTACATTGTGCTCTTACTCAAGAATATTTGCGAGAGCCCATTGCAATGTGCGGTTTTGGGCGCTTGTATTCTAAACAAAGCATCATTGAGCAATTGTTAGAAAAAGAAAAGAAGCCTGAATCTATCAAACATATTCGTACCTTAAAAGATATCAAAACACTTAAGCTCACCCCGAACCCGGCATACACAACTGAAGATAAAACAGAAGGTTTATTAGATACTCGTCATGCTCCTTACGTATGCAAGTTAATAGGCCTTGAAATGTCAGGAAAATTTAGATTTGTAGCTTTATGGTCTTGTGGATGTGTAATATCGGAGCGTGCTCTTAAGCAAATTAAACGAAATGATAGTGGGGGTAGTGCATGCCCTCTCTGTTTAGAACCTTTCAGTGTTGAAGATGTGGTTGTACTAAATGGGTCCGAAGAAGATTTAGAATTAATGCAAGCAAAAATGGAAATACGTAATATAAAAAGAAAATCGAGCAAAAAAGATAAAAAGTCTCGAAATATTTCGGATGATTCAAATGTTGGTAAATTATCAATTGAGAAAACCTTTAGCGATGAAAAAGGACAGAAATGTAAAAAAATTGAATATCTTAACGATAACACTCCTTCTACGAGCAAACCTTCAACAATTGGGTCAAAAAAACTAAAGCTGTCGGTTGTGGCTGAAAATGCATTAGAAGATCCCGAATTAAAGCGTTTAAAAAATGACTATAGTGTTGCTAAAGATCCAAAAGCCAGCGATGTATATAAATCATTGTTTACTACACATAAAAGCGAAAAGGAACAATCACGAGCGCACTGGGTCACATACAATCCATTCTACAATTAGTGGTTAAAATCTAGCAAGAAAGAATGAAATAAGTTCCGGGCCCGATTCCGATGACTTCGGAGGGTAAAACTACGAATTTCGGAATAAATGGCGTATGTATTGGTAGGGGAGCTTCTCCAGAGGAGGAATATGCAAAAATAATGTTATTAACACTTATATTTTTTAAAATATTCTCGATTAAAAAAAATTGTTTATTAATATCACATGGTAATTCTTGATGTTTCACTAATTTTTTTTTACATATTTCACTTTGTATATTTAAATATACCCTTTAAACATTAAAATAAGTTCACAATTATAAGGAATACGAGCGTTTACGCATGAAGACATTTTAATGACAGCGCTTTGTTTGTATTTTCGCGTGATTCTTTTTTCTAAATTTACTGTAATAAAAATTCTGTCCAACGTTTTCAAGTTATAATTGAGTTGTGAACACATCTTCCATATACCGTTAGTCACTTAAGTAAGTATACACCATCTTCATTTTTGAAGATAATTAAAATTAAAGTGTTTCCCAATATAATAATGGCACGTTTTTACAGAAAGCATGTGAGCATTGGCACCTGCTTTAATATCAACACGAATATAGCTGTAAAATGTTGATACCGTTAGACACACATCGCTTATTAGTTGAGGCGAGTGAAAATAATATCACACAAGTTAGTATACAGCGTACAATTGTTTGGTGAACATAATGCGATAGCATAGTTCTAAATTTAAAAAGTTCAATCAATTTAAACACAAAGGACACTGTTAGGAATATTATTATCTACTTTTTTTTTTAAATTACTGAACAATTTGCGGCAATGGCTCGAAGAGGAAAAGAGCTCTCTGATGACTTCAAAAAATTAATTATAAAGTACCACAAAGAGAATAAAACTTTGCGTGAGATGGCTCGTATAGTCGATAAAAGTGTTGCTACAATTCAAAAGATTGTAAACAAGTTCAAAAGTACTGGCAAAACAAATAATAAGCCTCGCTCCGGACGCCCAGGGGTATTCAGTGACAGGGAAAGTAGCCTGATTGTTCGTAAAATAAAAGAAAAAGTGCTCCAAAATTGAAAGCTGAAGTCGAAAAAGATATTGGGAAGCAGTGTAGTACCCAAACTATTCGCCGAGTCCTGTATAATGCTGGTTACCATGCACGTAATGTTAAGAAGAAGAACTTCGTGAGCAGCGTAAATCGATGTAATCGGATATCATTTGCAAAAAATCATGAAAAGTGTGACCAAACGTTTTGGATCAACGTTATATATTCAGATGACTGCAAATTTTGTATAACAGGATCCGATGGTCGCGAAAAAGTATGGAGGAAAACTAACACAGAGCTGAATCCTATTAATATGGCCGGCACGGTTAAGCATGGTGGTGGCTCGGTGATGGTTTGGGGATGTATGGCAGCCAATGGAGAGGCAATCTGGTGTTTATCGAAACTATTATGGACCGATACGGTTACCTTAACATTTTAAAATATAATTTGAAGCAAAGCGCTGTTAAATTGGGGCTGGAGGAGTCATTCATCCTCCAGCAGAATAATGATCCCAAGCACACGTCCGAAGTTGTGCGAGAATGGCTCTTATACAATGTGCAAAAACATTCGATACGAAGCAAGGAACAATTAAAAAGCGCGCTCCAGGAAGAATGGAATAAAATACCACAAGCAGTCACCGCAAATTTTTTGAAATCACGTCTTAAATCTATTATTAATTCCAATGGTTATCCAGCCAAATACTAGAAGTTGCCCTTTCAAATAATATTTTTATAATTAATTCAATATTTGTTCCTTTGTATACTTACTTTTGTGATATGAATTTGTACCAAATCTTTTTTAATTGTTAAAATTTTTTTATTTTGTGCTATTTTGTATGGGTTTTTGAATTGAGTATTATATTTATCTTTCTTTCAAGTGAATAAAAAACATTTTTCTTATATTTTGTGTTATTTAAGAAACCTAGTGCAAAAATAATGCAGATATATGTAGTGTTTACTTACTTAAATGACTAACTGTATGTATAAGTGTAAACACAAATAAGTAAAACCCTATGATAACATAAAATGTATATCATTGTAATATAAAATTTTTATATATTATAATTTTACATTATATTGTCATCTCTAGAAATCATCTCTAAAAAAATAACTATTCTCAATGTGATTGAAGAGTACTCTTTTCGCCGTTGGCGGCCTTTGGACGCGCTCTAAAAAATTACTTTTGCCGAGCCAATACCTGGGGTAAATGAAGTACTTTTTCGTAGTACTCCTTTAAAAAAATAATCCTGATCGAGGAATTACCCGGGGTAACCCAAGTATATTATTATATAATATTTCTTATTTGCTTATTAAATTATATATTAAATATCCATATTATGTATGGAAAGATGTTTATACTCATTTTAATTTACCTATAACCCGATATATTCTTTAATCATTCCTCTTCCCAACGGTACCTTCAGATCGTGGCGCCAAAGAAATTAGAATTGCGCCAAGTTCCGCATATACTTAACAACTTTATTTCTTCAAACCTTGTTAAGCTTACAATTTTCGATTCATAATAATTTATAATAAGCAATACTGAAAAGCCACAGGTCAAAAATGTCAGCCGAATCCATATACGTAAAAGATTCTTAACCTGAAAACGTAACATTAATATAATAAAATCCTTCATTCCTCTGTTTCCACTTCTTCTTCGGCACCGTAATCATCAAACGAATTATGGTCGAAATTTTGTTTAACAGTTTCCATGTTGCCATTTCCATTATACTCGCTATCTCCAAAACTTTCAAAGTTACGAGGTCTTGCGAATTCCCCATCGCTCTTCCTAGTATCGATATCCATAGCAATTTGCGGCAATACACCGCCAGTGCGCATAATTAATTGTAATTGTTGTATATATTGTTGCTCCTGTAAACGGCGCTCCTCTTCGCCCACATAATCAGAAGACATTTGCTTTTGTTTTGTACTGCTGTGTTCAGTATCTTTTAACAACACAGCATGCTTCTGTGTGACATGTAATGCTAATGATCTTACGTCTTTATGCAATGCTCCGCAAACAATACAAACTAGCGTGTCCTCCGAAGGCACAATACCAACTGATAATTGAACATCATTCGCAACATTCATGACTATGTTGTTTTGTTCAGCAGTAAGATGAGCCTGGATGTGTTTGTTTAGATAGGTTTGCTGACTATAGGATTTACCGCAAATATGACAAGGGTAAGACTTTTCGCCAGAATGAATTTTCATATGAACACTGAGACTAGATGCTTGTGTAAACGCTTTCTCACAGAGTTTACATTGAAATGGGCGTTCACCAGTGTGAATGCGCATATGAATTCCAAGACTCCCTGATTGCGTAAAAGAACGATCACAAATAGAGCACGTAAAAGGTTTTTCACCCATGTGACATTTCATATGCTGCACTAACTCCGATGATGTTCGAAAAGCTGCATGACAAATGGAACACTGATACACAAGTTGTTGTGTGTGCATTTGTAAATGTTTCTCGAGTAAATCTTCTTGTTTAAAAGATTTATCACATTCAGGACAATTGAAAACTTCAGTGTCATCATGTGATTTAAGATGTAATACGAGCGAGCTTGAGTTTATAAACCCTATAAAAATAAATTAGGAAATCAAAATACGTATTAAAGGAGATACCATGAGATATAAGATACAAGACTACCTTTGTCGCATAAATAACACTGATGTGGCTTTCGTATGGAATGAGAACGCACGTGCACCATTAGACTGCTTGATTGTGTGAAAGCCTATCGTGAAACAATTTTTTATTAGTAATAATTCAATGAAAAAAAAATTTCTATTTACCTTTGGACATAATTCGCATTTATACGGTTTCTCACCACTATGAATTCTAATGTGAGTATTCAAACTGCCGATGTGTGTAAAGGTCTTTTCACAGATTGCACACTGAAATGGTTTGTTTGTAATATGGCATCGCACATGTTTAGAAAGGTCCCCGGCGTTCTGAAATGAGGCTTCGCAATGTGCACATTGAAAACATTTTTGATCTCCATTTGTTAAAGCAGCAAGTTGTGCATTTTGTGCTGCACTGCGTCTTCCTCTCCCTGGCTTGGGGAGAACGGGTATTATAGTCATATTAGTTAAGCATTCATCGCTAATATTTTTCGTCAATGGCTTAAGTAATATGATCGAAGTAGATTCACGAGGATCTGCAGTCTTTAATTTAATCATTGGATACGCAGACTCACTAGTTGTACAGAAAGAATTTGTGGACTCATTTCCAACAATCTCTTCATAAATAGCGGGTGGCACTGTGTTGGTACTTACTGAAGTCATACGTGTGTAATCTTCATCTTGACCTTGATGGTTGTTCAAACTCGTATCTATAGTTACCGAATTGGAATTGGAAACGCTAACAGTAGTTGAGCTACTGCTTGAAGTTTGAGAAGAACTGCTGGTCGAATCATCGTCTGAATCCGAATCGCTATCCGAATCATCATCTCCATCATCGCCCTCCATATCAACGATTTCGCAAACTGGTTCAAGTACCCAACTATAATCTTGATCATCATCAGACGCGGTTTTACTCTCTTCGTCGCTTTCTAATGGTTGTGGATGTTGATTGTTCATATGTTGATATAACATATATGGATTTATAAAGTATGCAGGACAGCACATACAATGAAATGTCAAATCCGGTTGCAGAGAATTCGTATCTGATTTCGACGCAGTAGAAACAGTTAGATCTTTCAAAGCGGGTATAATAGGCGTTATTGTGAGAGGAAGATTCATATTTGAAATATTGAAGGAATTTAACTGAACTGTCATTTTGTTATATGACCTTCCTTTGCAATATCTATATGATGATATTTTATTTTAAGGCTGAAATTATAACCGAGAATGATTAATGAATTTATTAATTTTAATAAATATGCACACCTTTTGTTTGAACTTTTATAGTTTAATTTTGCTCCTAAGCGCTTGCTAGGATTGTTACTTTCGTACGACCGTATATATCCATATCATTATTACATTGAATTTAGATGTAGCATCTTCTACATACATTTTTTCCGGTTCTTTAGTTTCATTAAGTTTTCACAACTTATCTGTTTTACTGGCTCGTGACAATTAATTTATATAAAGACCCGAATTTATTAATGAAATTAAATCGTAAAATAATTTTTTAATTTGTGTTTCATATTTAAAAAATACTTGTTTGCTATTATAAAGCGTCCGCTTCTTAAATGCACGCCATAATTGTTGATATTTGTTTTAATACCAAATCAGTTACAGCGATACAAATGGTTAAGGTATACACAGACTGTCATTATTCATATGATGAAGGCTGTGTGCCAAGCGGTAGTGAAATGAAAATTCTGATAGATAAAAATCAAACTTTTACGTTGTTCATGGTGATTCCGATGGTATAAATTATACCCATAACCCGAACTAGGTAAAATTTTAAAAGCGCTTTTGATTAGTTCTGCTATAAGGACCTACAAATAAGAAATGAGATTGTAAAAAAGTTCATGCGAATGGAAAAGGGGAAGAATTTAGTATACCGTCCCAGGATTTCAAGGATGAAAAGGATATGGTCGGATAGAGGAGATTATCCTGATCAAGGATATATATGGTTATAGCCGCTGGAAGCTTTTAGTTTTCGATATATTCGCGTTTAAATTTGAAAATTAGCAATATTTTAATTATATATTGTCGATATATAAAATAAATTTTGCACTTATATTTTTCACTTTTATATCCACTAGCACTTCACTAATTCATTTGTACCCATTTATTTTATGGAATATAGTGCAAAAATAGCTTTAAACATACTTTTAAATTATTGTTGAATTATGATTATTTAAGAAAAACAAATGAATTACAAACTGTCAAATAATCAGTGTTACCTTATCGACATCATTTTTGTAATAGCTGTTAACGTCCCAGAATCTACGAAAGTTGATGGTCTGGAGCGCCTGGAGGATGACAAAACCAAATTCTCGCTGTATTTCCACCTACCATTGCTGGTCACAATCGTCCACTACTTTTTGAAACACCGTTACCATACATAGCACTAAACATCTTTAAGCACAAGCCAGATAATGACACTTTCGAATCCCATATACTCTTCAAATCTGACCAGAACTAAGCCCAACAGCTCCATTTAAAAAATTTACGTGTTGAACTCGATTCAATAATTTAGAGTGGAGTTACAACTAAAACCATCAAGTACGTACACGGAATTCCTAAGATCGTTAACAAAAATTTTCGCCCGCTCACTCAGAAGGTAGGCATACCCTTCAAACAAAGCTGGTGATACTGTACCAGAATGTGGGAGGTCTAAGGACAAAAATAACCAAATTCCAAGCATCGTCATCGGCCAGTAATGCTGACGTTTTTTGTATCACCGAGTCTTGGCTACACCCAGCCATCCTGGATGGGGAAGTCATTGATAAAACCTACTCAATATTCAGAAAGGATAGAAGCAACTTAAGCAATTACACCCGTGGTGGCGGCGTTTTCATCGCAATAAAACAACACATCTACGCCGAGCTTATTGTATTACCTGATAACTATCTAGAACAAATTTATATTAAAATCAAGTGCAATAACACGGATCTAATTATCGGGTGCATATATCTGCCACCTCAATCAGCATACTTCTTCTTCTTCTTGATTGGCGTAGACACCGCTTACGCGATTATAGCCGAGTTAACAAAAGCGCGCCAGTCGTTTCTTCTTTTCGCTACGTGGCGCCAATTAGATATTCCWAGTGAAGCCAGGTGCTTCTTCCCCCGGCGGGTACTGCGTCGAATACTTTTAGAGCTGGAGCGTTTTCGTCCATCCGGACAACATGACCTAGCCAGCGTAGCCGCTGTCTTTTAATTCGCTGAACTATGTCAATGTCGTCGTATATCT